GCGCTTGAGGCGCCGCAGCACTTCCCGACGTTGCTTGAAGCGCGTCCACCATAGACTTTGCATGTAAACCTGCTGCTCCTGATGCTGAAAGTTTCTTTATCTGGTTAATATGTTCCAACCAGTTTCACATGCATCATTACAGGTTAAAAACTTAGTCTTCAGTGTAAATAACTAAAAACTTCTATATAAATACAACGGTCTAATGTTAAACACCCCCACCCCAGGAAGGGTCTGTCTGAAATTTGAAAAGGTAATGCACCAAGCAATTTCTGCTGCAGGTAAGATATTGATTCCTGATAATGTTTATGGCTGTTTATGCTTCACAGAACCCCATTAAAAAAGTCCAAAGTATCCTTTTAACCAAACTATGATCTTGGTTTGTCTGTTTGTCTCCATGTTGCATTTTTTTTTCCTTCATAAAAAACACACAAATGAATTTTAATAAGTATAACAATTTAAACTCTCACACCTTTTTGTCAGAGAGAATGAGATCATTTCTGTGACCATGGCCACGTTCACTCTAAAACACCAAAAAAAAAAAAAAAAAAAACACACCAGCCACAGAGATAACTGGAAGGCTGCTTTATTATTTGGAAATAGATTCGTGCTCAAATGAAGACATTCTTTCACTGATTCTCACTTAATTGTCCCATGTGGTTTGCAACACATGTCCTCGGTCTGACTGTATTAGTGGCAAGAAATGACAGTCAAAAGTTGGTTTTCTTTTTAGTTAACCTTTTTTTTTTCAAAGAGAAGAAATTCATCTCAGTCATGCTACAAAAAACAATGGCCTCGTGTACCAACTGACAAACTAACACTTGGAAATGAACAAACGTGGAAAATAAATAAATAATAAATAAACAAAAGGCAAGCTGTTCTTCTTCTGACCCACAGGCCAGTAAACAGAATCCACAGAGAGAGCACTTCCTTCAAGACTCTACAAGATGTTAATCCACACATTTTAGACTTGTAGGGGGTGAGTTTGAAGTTCATTTAGAACTCAAGATAATAATAAATCAAATCAAACCATCGTGCTCCTTTTTGATTCACTCCATGGGTGTTGAGATCTTCGTTGCAGATTTTAGTGATTGGCTAAATAGAAAGCTAAAAAGGCACGTGCCGTTAAGAGATATTGCACCATAAACAAACACACAGACGGTTTAGACAACTAACCCTTAAACTGTTAGATATATTCAAACGGTGACAGCGAAATGAAACTCTAAGCTGCAGTTGTGCGTTGGGGCGGGGGGCGTGGAGGGGTTAGGGCTGCAGCAATAGCTTGTCTTATAAAGTGATGTGTGGATCAGAGTGGTTGGCTGCATAAAAGGCAATGAACTGTTTTGGTTGTGTGTATGTGTGTGTGTCTGTATATACAGTATTTCTGATGGGGAAATGATGGGCAAGACATCTTCTAATGAGTACAAAAAAGTGTGTGTGGGGGGGCGGGGTATGCTGGTAGTGCAATCCTCTCACCAAGGCAGGCTCCACAATTGTCAGCAAGCAGCCGGTACGACATCATGCACTGTATGCCTCATACTCTGAGGTCGTGGGCGGGCCAGAGTTCTGCTTCTTCTCTGAACGTACCACACAAAGAAAGATGCATAATCAGTTACACTCTGTGAATCTGCTGTCGCCTCAATGAGAACAGACAGGAGAGTCCACTTACAGACATGTTTTACTTTATATACATATACATATATACGTGATATATGTATATATATGTGTGCATGTGTGTGTGTGGGTCTGCATGTGTGTATAAAAGAATATATATATAATATATATGTAATATAGCTCTGTATATATACGCATTGATTTATACAGTTTTACATACATCTTCTGTTTCTTAATATARCTTCTTTTGACTTTTTCTCCTCTTTAACGGTGAAAAGTGACTGAAAAAGGTTTTCAACCATCAAACAATGTGTCACAGCCTCACAAGTGTGAGAAAGGGGCATTAGCTGGAAACCATTCTAGTTACGATTATTTATATTTAGTGTTAAGACTAAAAGCTGCAAGATTTATATATATATTTTTGTACTTTTTCAGTAATCCTGTATTTACAAATAAAGAAAATACTCATGCTTTTAAAATAGTATATTACATTATTTATAGTTTTTATCCAAAAAAAAAAAAGTCCAGCCTTAGCGTTTTGCAGTTTGTGACCAAAAGAGCATTGCGTTAATGTGTTTATCATCACATAGATGAACACTTTGCAGATTTTTGTTACTTATCGTGGAGATCCATGAAGATTTGGGAGAAAATGGGACAGCAGCAGCATTTATGCTCGTCGTTCAGATTTTTTTATTTGGTTCAAGTTGACACCCACACTGACTCTGGAGATCTCATGCAGCAGCTGGAGCATGGAACGCTGAGAACTGAATRAGGGACTATTTAATGAACAGGAAAAGTGACATCGCTGCACAACAGGTAGTGCAAAAAAACTCTGCTGGGGAGCTTTAGGTTCACAGTACCTTAAGAATGCATCCGGTGCTCTGTTTGGTTATTTGGTATTTGTTATGCAGTTGAGCAATATGAAGAAAACTATGAATTGTGGGAGATGGAAGCTGTTGTTGAGTACTAAAGTTTGGGGTCTTTCCTCTGAGCGTTTTACTCTTATGTGCTGCTCAAACCACCTTCATTCACTCTCATGACATCTCTCCTGTGTTCATTATCTGGGTGAATAGTTTTATTTAGTTTACTGCAAGAATTAAGGCCAGACCTCAGTCCAGATTGACATGGCCACAAATCTAATCCACAATAAATATTAAGCACTAAATTTCAAAGCATCAGAAGCAGGAAGCGCTAAACTGGCCCAAAAACAAACAATCAAACAAAAAGACAGTAAGATTGAAACAACCAGCTGAGATCATTGTCCACCAGCATGGTAAAAAATTAAAAACAAACATGTTTTTCATAAATACTCTCATCACATTCAGTTGCATTTTGTTGCAGAGCTCTTAATAATACATCTACATTATCTCCTGAGAAAAGGGGGTGTTTTTTTTTCAAGCATTGCATACATTTGTAGGGTCTTCCTGTCTAATACCGACAGCAAAACAAAACAAAGGAAAACAGAACGGGCAGGGCAGACTTCACCCAGCCCCGCTGCATGGACAAAAAAACAACAACAACAAGGCAGATCTCTTTGGCTTCTCCACACATTTTCCACATTACCCATTCACAACTTGATGTTTCTTTCTTTAACTGGATGCCACTAACTCCTGACGAGACAGGTCCCTTCATGGCTTCATGTGGTTAATAACAAAGATACCTATCAAAACAAGGAAATTACATTCAGGAAGAAAAAAACATATGAAACAAGAAAAAAAAAAGACATTTACATGTAGGCTCAAAGAAATCAAATAATGTAAATTTAAATTATAACTCTTTCTAGCCCTTTCAGAAAGGTCTAACCACCAACAGAGACACATCAAATAACAAAAACTGTGAAATCCCCTCATTCCGTTTAGAGTTGGACTCTCAAAGTGCTGCTTACACAAACATAAAGGCAAATGAGCTGCAACAAGCTCTTTAGCTTTAAAGTGTTGCACCTTTAAAAACATTTCAGTACAAATGACCAAACATCTCAGTCCATTGATACACACAGACATCCTTTTTTTCTTCATTTTACACTCGAAACAAACCTCCATAGCAGCAAAGAAAGTGCTTACGTTTTACCCACTGAGCCGTTGTGGTGGAGTTAAGGAGCTTCATTCTGTTGTCTGCAGAGGTAATCGTTCAAACAGCTAAAATGTGTTGAGTGATGAGCTAAAAATCGGATCTGTTTGGGATGACCAACCCACGTTCCGCGAAAACGTTTGCCAAATTTCTGAAAATGCTTGGGTCGTACCATCAAGCCACCAGTGAGGTCTGCGTTATTAGTGTCTCGTGGACTATGTTAATTCATGCAAGATTTCTGATCAAAAACATGCCATCATGCAAGTCATTTCTATGCATTGAACAAGCACAATTATTTATGTAACTGTTTGGAAATCTCTCTGAGTAAATGTAAGCCCTTGGCCCGAGTTGACCTCCCCATGAGAAACAGACCGTTTTACCAATTTGGTGTAAAAGCCCATGTAAAAGAAAGCATTTTGATGTGGGTACTAACAAAGATAAAATGATTAGAGGAGGTTGAGTGGCATGGGCAAACCGTTGGTTATTCTTTTTTTTCTCATTTGTTTACATTTTTTTGCTGCACACAAAAAGAAAACAAAAAACACTCTAGCTTTAATAAAAGAAAAGAAATTGCTTTCAAGACTTTGTCTTTCACTCAAAAGTCTTCATAGAGTTTGCTTTTAGAGTGAGTGTGTCACTAATAAATGACTCAGAAACACTTTGGCTGCTTTAAGAGGACACTTTGAATATTAAGCAGCATTCTCGTTTTCCCATTTCACAGAGCGGTTTCCTTTAGGAATCCATCAGTTGCATCTTAGGTGCTGAACTCCTGTTTTGCATCCCACCTCTTGGTGTAGAGTTCCTTTGTCGTATCTTTAGACCAGTGGCAGATGAGCACCAGACATTCCCTCCTCTGTTTCCATTACAACAATGCCCCACAGAATCCTGATCATGTGTCCTCAAGCCGTCGTAGACGGAGCTTCTTCCTTCTGCATCAATAYAGTAATGAAGTCTGTAAACAAAATTATTGAATACTATTTTTTACTTGCAAATGCAATAGTCTGTACATCTGTGTGGGTGAGTTTCCTCTCACTTTGCTTGAAGTTACATTACTTTATTGTTATTAATGTGATTATTCATCCAGCCTGACCCCTCCCCCTAACATTGAGATTCCCTGATGTCTTTTTGGTTTCTCCCTTTCTCTTTCCTGTCTCCTTTCCCCTCATTGTTGTCATCCTGTTTCTCCTTATCAGGTTTGGTTACACTGTCATAAGAAGGCAGGGAGGCAGTCGATGGCGTGCTCTCCTTCTTTTCTTGTTCCTGATTGTTCCCATCGTTCTCAGGTTTGTTGTTGGCTGGTTTGCGCTTACATACAAATCCCCGCCGGGACAGGTAGGAACGGTAGGCCCTCTGAATAATCCTGGCAGACACATCTTCCTGCTTTCGCCTCAGAGTGGTGGTGATCGGCTCATAAGAGACCTTGGAAGGATTGGCGGCTACAAAACGCTCCTCCATTTGTTGCCTCAGCATGTCCAACTCACCGCTGTCGCCCAGCACGCGTTTGGTGAAGGCGAACAGGATGTCCAGGCAATGAATGCGGTCTCCACTCACCATAGGCATGTCCATAGCAATCAGCTCGATGGTGTTGGGCTTGGGGACGCGCAGCGGGTGTTCAAGTGCATCTGCAAAGTCAGAAAGCTTAGCATAGGTGATGAACTGGGAGGCATCTGGGTCAAACTTCTCCCAGATTTCATAAAAGGTCTCAAAGTCGTCCTCACTGAGTGGGTCGGCACTCTCCTCTGTGGCCACGCTGAAGTTCTCCAAGATGATGGCAATGTACATGTTGACCACAATTAGGAAAGAAATGATAATGTACATAACAAAGAAGAAGATGCCCACAGATGGGTTGCCACAGTCTCCAGTGGCAGGGGTGCCAGCGTTTTCCAGTAAGGGGTCACAGTCTGGAGGGTAGTTAAGAATGGGCAACAGAAGGCCGTCCCAGCCAGCAGACGTGGTGATCATGAACAAGATGATCATGCTGTTTCCAAACGTCTCAAAGTTGTACATGTCATCAATCCCAGCCCCATGTTTCACGTAGCCGAAGTTGGACATGCCGAAGATGGAGAAGATGAACATGACTAGGAACAGTAGGAGGCCAATGTTGAATAAAGCAGGAAGTGACATCATGAGGGCGAACAGCAGAGTTCGGATTCCCTTGGCACCTTTGATGAGTCGCAGGATTCTGCCGATTCGAGCCAAACGAATCACCCTGAAGAGCGTTGGTGAAACAAAGTATTTCTCTATCAGGTCAGCCAGAAACATTCCTGAGGATCAAAGGAAGCAGAGAGACACGTCTTTGGTTAAAATACAGGAAATATTAGGAAGGTGCTGCCTAAACACCAGGGTTTTGTATTGGCAAAAGTTTTATAAATATTACAACACAGGGGTCATGATATACAGTATCATGATATTTTACGATACTGTATTGGCATTTTTTTCTCCAAAAGACTCTAGTTACAAAAAAAACAAAAAAAAAACCTCTACATCCTCTAAGTCTTATTCAAAAATCAATACAGTGCTTTTGAGAATCGATACAGTATTAAGAAATGATACGGTCCCCTCCAAAAGTATTGGAACAGCAAGTCTAATCCTCTTATTTTTGTTGTGCACTGAAGACATTTGGGTTTAAGACAAAAAGATGAGCATGAGACAAGAGTTCAGAATGTCAGCTTTTATTTCCTGGTAGTTACATGTAGATGTGTTAATAACTCAGAGCATACCACTGTAGAGTAATGGTGCGTTCACACCGAACGCGATTTCAGCGTCAAAATCGCAGCCAACGCTGAAATTTGAAGCTTGTGCACTTTGAGGTCAGACGCAGGACAGCTGCGCTGCACGGCGACAGCCGCCCCGCCCCGCCCCTCCCTCCTCTGTGGGGCTGTTTAATGT